TTTGCGCCAACCTGATAGCAATGCAAGAATGGCCTGGTACATACTGATTTCTTTTCTTTTGAGTATATTCCTAGCAGTGGGATTGTTGGATCGTGTGGTAGATCTGTTTTTAGTTTTTTGAGGAACCTCTAAATTGTTCTCCCTAGTGGTTATACTAATTTACATTCTCACTAATAGTATATGAGATTTCCCTTTTCTCCACATTCTCACCAGCATTTGTTATTACCTGTCTTTTGGATAAAAGCCATTTTAACTGGAATGAAATGACATCTCATTATAGTTTTGATTTCCATTCCTCTGATGGTCAATGATGTTGAACACTTTTTCATATACATGCTTGCCATTTGTATGTCTTCTTTTGAGAAATATCTATTCAGATCTTTTGTCCATTTTTAAATCAGATTATTTTTTTCCTAGAGTTGAGTTCCTTACATATTCTGGTTATTAATCCCTTGTCAGAGGGATAGTTTATAAATATTTTCTCCCACATGGATGGGGGCACCCACGCCAAGATGGCTGAATAGGAACAGCTCCAGCCTCCAGCTCCCAGCGTGAGCAACACAGAAGACGGGTGATTTCTGCATTTCCAACTGAGGTACCGGGTTCATCTCACTGGGGTGTGTCGGACAGTGGGTGCAGCCCAACGAGTGACAGCTGAGCCAGGGCGTGGCATCGCTGCACCTGGGAAACACAAGGGGGAAGGGAATTCCCTTTCCTAGCCAAGGGGAACCGTGACACACAACACCTGAAAACTCAGGTCACTCCCACCCTAATACTGCGCTTTACCAAGGGTCTTAGCAAATGGCGCACTAGGAGATTATATCCCACGCCTGGCTCAGGGGGACCCACGCCCACGTGGCCTCCCTCATTGCTAGCACAGCAGTCTGAGATCTAACTGCAAGATGGCAGCGAGGCTGGGGGAGGGGCGTCCGCCATTGCTGAGGCTTAAGTAGGTAAACAAGCCGGACAGGAAGCTCGAACTGGGTGGAGCCCACCGCAGCTCAAGGCGGCTGGCCTGCCTCTGTAAACTCCACCTCTGGGGACAGGGCATAGCCAAACAAAAGGCAGCAGAAACCTCTGCAGATGTAAATGTCCCTGTCTGACAGCTTTGAAGAGAGTAGTGGTTTTCCCAGCACGAAGTTTGAGATCTGAGAACAGACAGACTATCTGCTCAAGTGAGTCCCTGACCCCTGAGTAGCCTAACTGGGAGACATTCCACACTAGGGGCAGACTGACACTTCACACCTCACACGGCCAGGTGTACCTCTGAGATGAAGCTTCCAGAGGAATGATCAGACAGCAATATTTGCTGTTCAGCAATATTCACTCTTCTGCAGCCTCTGCTGCTGATACCCAGGCAAACAGGGTCTGGAGTGGACCTCGAGCAAACTCCAACAGACCTGCAGCTGAGGGTCCTGACTGTTAGAAGGAAAA